TCGCACATTTCTGATTAAAATGAGACATCTTCCAGCTCTACACGACCTTTCTTTGCAAAGTTATAGATCGTACAAGAAAAGCCCTAAATGTTTATTGTGATCTCAAAGCTACAGAAATAAGAAATTAACTGAGGACTTTTCTTGTAAATTCTATAACTTTGCAAAGAAAGGCTGTGTAGAGCTAGGAGATGCCTCATTTTAATCAGAAATGTGCGAGCTACAATCAGGCCTCGTTAAGAAAGATTTTGGTTATTTTTTAGAGTTTCTGAAAACTGGTTGTCCAGAACTCCAGATCCTCAGGAGCCATGAGGGAAAATGCTTTATGCCATCATAATCAGCCGTTGGCTTTCGTACTGACGTTTTTGTCCCTGAGACCCCCGTCGACTTTCGATCAAAAATGAGGTTAAGTTGGTTGTCAGCAGAGTAGGCATTGATCTTCTATTTTACAGAGACAGGTGAGGGATACTGTTTCTTATTAGATCGATAGGTTGTAGTACAGAATGCATATAAAATTTTTCATACAAAAAACAAGAGAAGTAATAGATCAATCACAAAAAAATATTAAATTAGCGATAATTGATCATATTAGTTCAGTTCCAGCTGTTATATTCGATATTGAACAAATAATTAAATTTTTTCGCTCTCAGAATATTTTAACTCTTATTGATGGTGCACACGCAATAGGTTCAATACCAATTAATTTACAACAAATGAATCCTGATTGTTATCTAACAAACAGTCATAAATGGTTATTTAGTCATAGAAGTGGTTGTTTATTATATGTACGAAAAGAATTACAAACTTTAATTAGTCCAATAACAACATCATTTGGCTATAAACAAGGTTATCAAGAAGAATTCAAATGGTTAGGTACAAAAGATTATAGTAATTATTTTACAATAAGTGATGCTATTGATTTCCGACAAATGATTGGAGGTGATATGGCTATATATGAATATAATCATCAATTAGCTGTAAATGCTGGTAATTTATTAGAATCAATGTGGAATAGTTCAACACTGACTACAAATGACGAATATATTGGATTTATGAATAATGTTCAACTCCCGTTAATTATAAATACAACAGAATCAAGGAGGAATTTATATAATAAATTGATAGAACGATATAACATATTTCTACCATCCTTTCAATTTGATAATAAATATTATTGCAGGATCAGTGCACAAATATATTTAGAACTGACAGATTTTGAATATGTTGGAAATTGTGTATGAAACTTAATTAATGAAAAATAAAAAGCCAAGATTTTCAAAGTATATGTGGACAGTGGCGAATTTGGTAACTTGCTCTCATAGATCGACGACAGCATATCCATCATGCTATCCTGTTAACTTTGCTTATTTTGACGGTTCAAGGCTTCACGTGTTTGTTCACTGTGTGCTAAACTGCACAATGGTCAGTACCACTTTAGGATTCAGAGCAAAATGGTTCATTCCATTTTGATTACAAATCTCGTTAGAAATACTGACTGGAAGGATGCTCCTTAATAAGCATCTTTGTCCAGTTCTAAGCAGGACTGAAAGTTTAATCTCAACAGCACTGTGTCGTGACAGTCGTCCTAACACCTTATAGTCAATTGCTGCAAATCGCTTTAGCAGCTGACGCAAGCGCGCCACCTTTCGGACTGGCAGCGAGCATATTTCTCATCGGGAAAAGTGACTGCTATATATGTGTTGAGACGAGACAGATCGTCGAAATATAGAAAAAAAACTATTCGTTCGAGAACTTAATCAGGCTTCCGAATAATAAGTCTCATTTAAATTTTAAATTTTTGTTGTTTTGAAGTAAGCTACGTCGCTAGTAGCTCGTCTTATGCACTTGTAAATCTTGTTAACTATGCATCCTTTTAAAAAGAAACAAATATTTCAACTTTGAAAAGGATGAACTACTGGCGAGAGAGGACGCTAGTTTCCTGAAAATGAGAATTTACAAGACGTAAGGGAAGTTGGCAGCAGACTTCTATATTTTCGCCTAACGTTTTTTATTAAAGCTGTGGCATCTTTGGAAATAAGTGTGCTAGATAGAACTCAACGAGCTCTATCGAATGCCAAAATCAGTTTCTCAGAATATTGTTTATTTCGCTTTTAAAATGACATATACTGACTTAGTAACGTGTTTCGAATGTAGCTTCTGTTGTGCTGCAGAAAATGTATAGCTCTGTTTATTGTTAAAGTAAATGTTTTTTATCATGAATAGAAAAAATAATTTTTTTGGATAAAGTATTCTTGGCTAGTAGTTTGTAGTGCATTAAGTATTATCATTTATTGTCTATGATTTGTGTTTTTTGCAATAGTTGTTGTTAAAAGTAATCGAACAGGAGTTAGCTGTTGGAAATAGTTCTGGAACGGGTTTGTCGCGCGGGCTTGTATTTGCCAAATTAATTTCAATGTTTTATTGTGGCTGTTGTGTAGAATTGCATGGTTTATATTTCACCAAATAGATAATAGTAAGAGTTAAAATAATAATGAGGGTGGCTATGATAGTACCACTGCTTATGAATGTTCTGGATGATGAGGACATTTGATTCCTGTTATTTCTTATCTGAATATCGATATTGGGAGTGTCTGTGTAATCAAGTCAATGATATCATTAATCTCCGAATCAATAAATTTTAAATTGGATAAGTATGTATCATTGATCGTCTTCTGAATAGTAAACACATCAATATCTGGACGAGATAATGTATTATTTGATATTATAAACAAACTCGTATTACTACTACTAACTGGTGTACCATATAAATTAAACTGATCATCAGCACAAGCATAAAATGAATTTGGTGGAACATGAACTGATGATACAGGTGGTATGAAGTTTTTCACATTTCGTGCTGATAATTCACCAATTTCATCAGAACTGGGCATAACAGGCACAAGAACACACTCAAGAGTTCTGTTACTAGACACTGTCCAATATCCGCCATTTAACTGAAGAGTGTGGTGATCGACATCTTCCACATGTTCATACCTGCATGATGATAGTTTAGTATTGGTGAATAATACCTGTATTGAAAGATCGATTATTAAAATATCTCCCATATGCCGGTGTATTTTTACATTTAATATAACTGTCAAACGTGCAGTATGAAGTATCCGTTGAATACCATTCAATGGTGTCATTTGTTAGTGGATTTTGGCCGATATATGACGGCATGTTAGCAATTTTTACAAAATGATGGTGATGATAGAATGGAATGTGATGTAACTGATAAACATTAAAGTTATCCTGTTTTTGATTTGGAAGACCAATAACGTTGGTGAAAACCAGTCGGCCAATTTCTTCAGCATTCTGTGAACGATACATCGTTGTTGGCATAAAATAAGTTGTGTAAGAGAACAACTGGTGACTGATCTTCTAAAATACTATCTAATGAATCATTTGTTTCTTGCATGATTTGTTGAATAACAGCAGGAACATCACTTGATCTAATGAACACTAAATTGGGCCTATTACTTAATATTTCATTGATTGATAAATACAGCAGAGTTTGTGTCATTTTCTGCTTAAATGTCGAATTATCACCACTTAATTCACCAACCGAAGCATTTAATCGAGCTACATCTGCTTTGGTTTCTCGAACTACACGAGTACTATCATTCAATGCTACCTGGGTATCTTTTAATTCTAAGGCTAATTCCACTGTACCATTCTTTACAAAAGCCAATGTTGCTGTATTGATGTCCACCTAAAGAGAAGAACGAAGGAAACTGTGGCGTATAGTTATTAATAACACAGTTTCCTTCGTTCTTCTCTTTAGGTGGACACCCTCATTATTATTTTAACTCTTACTATTATCTATTTGGTGAAATATAAACCATGCAATTCTACACAACAGCCACAATAAAACATTGAAATTAATTTGGCAAATACAAGCACGTAGATTATACGACACCAGATCCACGAAGATTACACGTAGATCCACGTAGATTATGTCGACACCAGAAAAGAAGTCAAAGTATAATTATAAGGAACCCGCTGTCGGATTCACCGAAAAATTTTGCACATAGCGCCCAATTTTTACCTAATTTGGTGCAGCGCGGAAAAAGTACATAATTTTCTATGAATAATGCGAGAAACTGGGACATTTTTTGCATAATAATTGGAAAAAGCCCGAAGCACAGTTTTCTCACCAATTGTGATAGAAATGAACTTGGTTTTTATTTTCAGTTAAAAAAACGATTCCTGCACAATCCATTCAATCTACACCGTTCCTGCACAATGAGTGGTTCAGATAACAGGAAGCCTTTTCCTCACTTAGCATCATCAACAAATAAATTAAGTCAAATAGTGGTAACATCATGCGATGTAGAGAAAATATTACGCAAGTTAGATGTAAATAAAGCGAGCAGTCCAGGTATAACATCGAGATTATTAAAAGAGTCATCATTAATTACGAGTGAATACATTTCACAAATAATAAATCAGTCTCTACAAACCGGAGTATATCCCGAGCTTTTTAAAACCGGTTATATCAACGCTTTGTATAAAGATGGCGATGCATCCACACCAACGAACTATCGACCAATCACACTGTTGCCAGTTTTAAGTAAAGTTTTCGAACGTGTCATTCATAATCATCTCTATAATCACTTGAAAAAGAATAATTTATTGCATTGCTTACAGTCGGGTTTCACAAAGGGTGACTCGACAGTAAATCAACTGATAGACCTAGTTCATTCGACTCACCAAAACACGGAGAAGGGTTTT